TTGACACTTTGGCTTTGTGTAATATTATACTGATACTCAATACTAAAACTAAGGAAAAGCATAACAGGTGTCCTTTAATACTGTAAGAATGTTAAATGCTGAAACTACTGGCTCATGTGCTTTAAGGAGTTTTACTAATGGATGTCATGTGTCTGTCTGGTTTACCTGCAGAAGGTACGTCAGAAGAACCAGGAGATGAAGGTTCTGATGGATCAGATGAGAAACCTTCTGTGGGATGTCAATGCCATGCTGACGCTAAGGAAATGATAATTCCAGTACATCCCACTTTTTTTTTTTTTTTTAAGAGAGCGATTCCCTACAGACATGAGGACTGCATAATGGCAAAGACCAGGTGAAATAAGGGAATTTATGTATGATTTTGAATATGGGACCTTTCACTTAGGTACATCTCCTTTGTGTTGGCTCTTCACCACTGAAACTCACAGTTCACCCAAGAACTTCTGCTGTTTTATTATGTATTATATTGAAATTGTTGTGGGGGAAACGATTAATGAGATAGGATGAAAGCTAAAAAAAAGAAATGTCAACCTGATACACTCCAGCTCCAAGAATCTTTGTGTCTTTGTACAAGGCAGCTGACAACCCAGTTTTTGTTTGAAAAGTGTTTTACAATTATTTTGTCACTCTTCGTTTATGTCAATAAGTTATGGAATCCTGTTTTCATACGGTTTAAATAATGAGTGGAAACCTGTAATGCCTCAGGTAGAGACAAACAAAAAAAAAAAGTTTTCTTTAAACAAGGTATTCATGGTGTGTTGCCCCCAGGTGCTGACTCGACACCAGACAGACTTGAATTCATTGCAGGTAATTCTTCCAGAAAGCACAGAAGCTGATCTTACGACAGTGTTTACAATAGGAACAATTGCCCTTTTTTTCTTTTTGCTCTGTCAGTTTTAAAAACACTATGGGTTTAGAATTCAAATTAGCCCCTTGGCAGCTATGTATCTCAGGTGCTTTGTTCATAAGTGTGTGTGTGTGTGCATGTGCTTAATGAGATTAGCTTCCCGAGTGCTAGACAGCACACCTGTTTACCCTGAGGGTGTTGAGACTTGCTTGCCTGTGAATTTATTTTTGTAAACTGTGGGACAAAGGGTAGGCCAATTGGGTCATTTCTCTTTTGTATAAAATAAACTTTTTTTAAACAAAATTTCTGAACATGTACTTTAAAGCCTTCCATCTAAATACAGGATGGGCAAGCTCAGACTTTACAGCATGCGCTCCGTTGTGTCATTTCCAACCCAGAGGGCTGATGTGGGAATGCATGAGCTCCTTCACAATGGAGGTGATCCATAAATACACCAAGGCATATCCACCAACACATAATGATGCATATTTGGACCCTGACCCTTTGTTTTCATTTTTCTTTACAACAACTTGTCAGTATAGGTCTCCTCCACTACAACACGGCATCAAAGACAATGAGAATCACAGAGTCACAAAAACATGGAGGACATGATTGAGCAGCGCGCTTTGATTGCTGTAATTGTATTTGGAATAATTTCACAGCTAATTCAATCAAAAGGGTCTCCATTAAATTGATTGCTATAAAAATAAAATCCCGGGATTTCAATAGTGGAAGCAAGGGAATGCTACACGCCACACGCCACATTCTATCAGTGTACACATTGTACAGGACAATGTGCTTGTCTCAGTTTATATGAGCGGCATATGTTTACACAATATGAAATTGGCTTGTGGTAATTTTCAATCAACTAGAATTTTAAAAAGTAGGAATGTGCTTGGTTGACAGTAAAATTAAAACATGTAAATAAACAAAATTTTCATTGCTAACAATTTGATAACTGATATGAAAATGTTGTTTTGAAATTGTTTTGCCTCTCAAATGGGTATGGTGGGTTTTCTATGATTGCAAATTGAATAATGTTCATGGACTGTTTGTAGGTCAAAAGCAATTTGAAAATGTCACTTTGGCATTTTTCACTCTTATATGACATTTTATTGAACAAACGATACATTGATTTAATTTGAGAAAATCTGAATCATCTGATTAATCCATAATGTAAATTAAAATAGTTGCAGTAACAGTTAAGACTGATGGATCTGTTAAAGGATGATCAATGCATAGTACATTAAATTGTGTATATAGGACCAGTATGAAGTCCAGTCTGTTTTGGCCAATTCCTCACTAAATTAATGAAATTTCTACTTTTTCAGGTTTCTAAGAAAACAGTTGATAATCTCATTCTTCCGACTATTCTCTGCTGACTTCCTGGTACATGCAGAGTTACAGGTTTAGTTACTGGCCAGTTACTATTATCCTCACTGATATGCTTTGCTACTTCAGAATCTTAAAATATCTCATAAGGCAATCTAGTTCCTTCAGCTCTACTGAATATCTATGTTCTGGACTTCCTTAGAGAGAGTAGGAAAACAATACTTAACGCGGCACCGTGAGTTTGCATTTATAAATCATTTTATTTGTTTTACATTTAGCATCTTGATGTGAAATGATCAGTTTCCATGGCAACAGTCCCTGCACAATAATGCTGAGACACACATTGACAACTGGAGTGCATGGCACCAATACCAATCCCTTGGGTGCATCTGGCATGAGATAGCCGTTCCCTTTTCATTGTCACAGCAATGGCACTGACATCTGAAGTGTTCAAGTGTTCCTTTTTTTTTTTTTTGCTGTCCAATAGAGATTGTCCTTTCTCAGCGAGAGGCCCAATTACAGGGACTCAGGACTTTCAAGGCCCCTAAATGTCCTACTCCGTTGTCTCACCAGACTTATGGAGGTAGGAGAATCATTTGAAGCTCCTTTTAAACTTTTATAGGCCCTTCTTCATATTTATATGTATGTAGTCCAGAGCAGTCCACCAGGGTCTGTCTGATGATTGTACTTTGTCCATGTATCAAATGGACCGCTCAACCACTTTTTCCACATCCCAATAGTCTTGAGTGTCCTATCTTGACTGCCCACCACTGATTGGTCCATTTGTCTGTCCAAAAGGCCACTAGACCAGACCGTGGCCCTTTCCAGCCTTTCTTTCCATTTTCTCTGTCATTTTCATGCTCTCTCCAGGTCTTTGTACTTCTTTCGGAGAACAGACACTTGATCTTTGAAGAGCACGGGGTCCAGGCGAAACTGAGAGTGGACCAGAGGCATGTAGCCAAACCAGTTGGCGAAGGTGTTGACACACTCCTGCCGCTGGTTGAAGTGCTCCGGGTTGGCCCAGGGGACACTCTTTGTACCCTAGGAGGTAGAACAAGACAGAGTTATTCACCGCCTGGTCCTGACCCGACAGCATTAAACACATGTGAGAAAGACCAGTGGTTATCTACCTGTGGACTGGGCAACTCTTTGTACTGCTTCCTTTGAGCCACTTTGATTGGCGGCAGGTGGGTTACAGCGGAGACCAGGAAGTTCATCAGGATGTCCTCACAGTTGGAGGTGCGATCCACCAGAGTCCGCAGTGACTGGGGCAGGTAGTGAGAGAACAGGTAGTGGTAGTACCTGTGGGGTAGGTCAAAGTGTTATACAGGCATAAATGTATTGTTATTAAAATATAAATATAGGTATATATTATATTATAAGTAAAGAGGACAGTGGATCAGCCTTAGCAGTCACTAATCACATCCAGTAACTAACACGGAGATCACAGGTTCAGTTCCCTCAACTTCTTTTTGTCCACAGCAGTGAAACACAAAGCTCATGAACTCATCATATAAAGATAGAAATTGGAAGAAAAAAGTAATTATGAGTAAAATATTATAACAACTGTTTGTTGTGAGAGATTTACCACCCTGTTTCATATTTCTGTTTGGCAAGAGAATAGCAACTGATAATTCCACTGAAATCAAAGACGTGTTGACAAAACTTAACCAGCTTTCTCAAGCAAAAAAAGACACTTCTGTATTTTCTTATATATCATGTTAATATTATTATCAAAAGTTAGATCGTTGTCTTTTAAGACTACAATTTCTACCTCCTGACCATTGATCACAGTGTCGCCAGGGGTAACGCATCAAAAATCAGTACGTGTTCTTGTTTTTGTGTGTGTCAAATTTGTTTTTAAAAAAGACTAGGTTGCACCAACTGAAAAAAAAATGAACTACAGGGTCATGGTGCATTTGCCACATGCTTTTATAAAATCATCCATGGGCATCCTTCTGTAAAAAAAGAGAAGAAATTACTGAAATGTTATTTTCTCATCTAATCTAGCACCTCTATTACACATTGCTCTATTATTCCTCTCGCAAGAATATTTTGTCAAACCCTGATGTTCTGTCTCACTATTATTAGTCTAATCATGTTTTTTGCCTCTTGTACTTGCACTCACAGTACAGTAAATCTCTATAGACAAGCACATCAACTAAACACATAAAATAAAAAAGTATGACACAATTTATCACAGGTGGAGGGCCAGGCAGCCAGCACCTGTATGGTAACGGGCATGGTCACATCAACAGAAAAGAGTGTATGTTTTGATGTATGTTGATGATATGTATCTAGGACAAGTTAACCATTTCACTGCCAGTGGGATTTGATATTTATAGTGCACAACAAACTAAACCCCTGTGGTACAATGCATATGTTCTCCATTCCTTCAGTTTTTCAGACTGGAGACTAGAGTTCAGTGCCTTCTATTCAGCTGGTAATTTTGCATTACATTTGTCAGACTTAGCACCTCTCACTGTCTTCTTTTTAATGTGTTTTAATTGTGCTTAGAAACTAAAATGGACCACGATTAACTTTATGTAAGTTGACACAATTGATTCTGGGAAGTTGCTTCTTTTTCCTATTGGATTTTCTCATATTTAATGAGTTTTTCTTATTTTGTTTCTTCTGCAAAGCCCTATTGTGAAAAAGCCATTTGGTGCGCTGTCACATCATTTTACCAATACAATATACAGTAAGTAATTAGATAATTTGCATGCAAAAGAAAAATTGAGGGTTCTAACAATGAGAAAGGCAGGGTTTAACTGACTACTCATTGTCATTTCTCTGTTTAAGTGGTTAAACATTTTGAGGCATACGAGGTAATGCAGATGGGCCTTGGAAATATCAGTGGGCTATACCAATGGGGCGGAAAGATTCAAAAATGTTTTTTCATAGAAACTGCTAAAAAAAAAAAGACCACTTTGTCTCAAAATGTTGCAAGGTTTCAACAGCTTTTAAAGTACCCTGACTTAGGAGTAATTACATTCATACTGTATAATAATTCACATTGCTCTGCCATTGCACATATCGACTTCAGGCTTTTGGTATTAATCAAACTGCCTGAAGTAATCCCTGAGTAATTCAGCCGCTCCTTTTCTTTTCCTCTAGCTAACACATACACATATTTATCCTCGATTCTATTTTATCCTGTACGATTGCCCCTTTTTATGTCGAGATTTATGTCTTTATGCTTGCTGCTGTTGCTGTTCATCAAGTAGTCCCTCATTTTCAGCTGTTGATCTCTTAAAAGGAAATCTGTTTTTCCTTTTTATAGCCAAAGACATACATGTTTCCCAGATTATGACGCCTGATGACTTTTCCTCTGGCACCACCATGAAGTTGACGTGTGGTTTTAAGTGAAATATCTCAACAATTGTTGGATGGAGTACTGTAAAATCTGGTACAGTCATTCATGTCCCCCTCAAGATAACTGGTACTAACTTTGGTGATCTTGTGACTTATATTTTAACGCCATCGTCACGTCAAAATGTCACTTTATCCAATACGTTAAATACTTGCAAAACTACTGACATTCAGCCTTAGCTGTACTTTAGGACTAAAACCACATGTTAGCATGGTAAACTATACACCTGCTGAACAGTACAGCCTCATGGATCAGCTAGCATGGCTGCAGTCTATTTATACATGTTTTAAGATGATAATTAAAACATATTAAGAGGCAAAATATTAAAAAAAACAATGCATATGTAGCTCTAAATAGCAGTTTCTATGTAGTTTGCTACAGTCTGCTGGTGTACCTGTGGTAGAAGGCAGCTCCAGTAAGGACGATAGAGTAGTCGTTGGTCCATTTAGAGGTGTAGCCCCAGGCACGCTTCAGGGGATCCCAGAAGTGGCTCCTGGGTGGGTAGCCCACGATCCGCTCAGGGAAGCTCCGCCACACCAGGAAGGCAAAGTTCACCTACGAGTGCAGATATGGAACACTTGACATTGCTGCAACTTTC